TCTCCCCTCCCCTGCCCTCCCCTCCATGCTGCCATCCCCTGTTCACCTGCCACATGGTGCTGGCTTCCCCCAGAAGTTTCTGGAGAAGGGTGATTTCAGGATGACCTCACTTCTGCAAGATGGTCAGTTCTGTTCTCTTCTTGTGCTTGATAAACTTCAAGAGTCCACACAGATGAGACAGCACACAGGTGGAATCAGTGGAGAAGTCCTTGATTGCTTCTAACTTGATACATGTAAGGTCTCTGGTCCCAGACACCGGAGCACCAGATGAAGACTTTTGAGACGGGATAAGATGGGGCACCAGCTAGTGCAGAGTCACAGAGCGGGGCTGGAAACCTGGGTTCCGGCTCCCCATCTGTGCCCTCAGTCCCCCTGGAGCACCAGCTCGCATTCTTACTGGCCTGTCAGTCACTTTGTTATTCATGTTACTGTCTTTTCCTCCAATCTGAGAATTCCTCTGTGTAAAATTCAGTGACACTGATTCCATTCTTCATGTTGTAGAGCCATTATCGTGATCCTTTTCCAAATCCCTCCACTCTCATTACCATAAATTCAGTGCCCTCTGTGGAAAAAACCCCACTTCCACCTTTCCTGTCCCCCAGAACTATTAATTATCTTTCTTTTCTAAAGATTCGCTTATTTCCTATATGTAAGATTATGCTGGTTTTGTTCTTGCTCAGCTGATACTCTTCACCCAGCCTAATGTTTTCCTATTTTAATCTTGCTTTCTCTTTGTGGCTGAGACATTTTTGTTTTAAGCTATGACAAAGGTCTATTTTGTGCTCTTAATAAAATCACAGTTGTTGTTGTTGTTATGTGCCGTCGAGTCGCCTGCGACTCATAGCAACCCTATGTACAATAGCCCTAAACTCCGCTCTGTCCTGTGCACGGTCTCCGACACTCCCATCCCAATATCCCAGTCACTGAATCAATCCACCTCGTAGAGGGCCTTCCTCTCCTGCGCCGTCCCTCCACCCTCCGAAGCATGATGTCCCTCTCCAAGGGCCGGTCTCTCCTCACAACATGTCCAAAGTATTTTAGACAGAGCCTCAGAATCCTTGCCTCCAAGGAGCCACCCGGTTTAACCCTTTCCAGGACAAATCTGTTTGTTTTCCTAGCAGTCCATGGTATTCTCAATACTCTTCTCCAGCACCACAGCTCAAAGGCATCAATTCTCCTTCTGTCCTTCTTCGTCATTGTCCAACTGTCTGATGCATAACAAGTGATTGCACAGACCATGGCCTGTACCAGACGCACCTTAGTCTCCAGAGAGACACCATGGCTCTTCAGCACCTTGGAGAGGTCCCTAACTTTCCCATGGCAACGCGCCTTGTAATTTCCTGGCTGCTGGTGCCGAGACTGTTGACTATGGAGCCAAGCAAACTAAAGCTGTGTACAATCTCAATCTCTTCACCATCCATCCTGATGCTGCCAATTGGTCCAGGGGTGAGAATCTTTGTCTTCTTGACATTGAGCCTCAATCCGTATCGTAGGCTGCAGTCCTTGACACTGCAGCAGGCGCTTCAGGTCCTCCTCAGTTTCAGCAAGCAGGGTTGTGTCATCCGCATAACGCAGATTGTTGATAAATCGTCCACCAATCTTGACCCCACATTTCTCCTCATAGAGCCCAGCCTCCCGGATAATCTGTTCTGCATATAGGTTGAAAAGGTATGGAGATAGGATGCATCCCTGGCGTACGCCCTTCCCAATTTTGAACCATGCAGTGTTCCCTTGCTCTGTTCTGACGACTGCCTCCTGGTCCAAGTATAAGTTTTGCAGTAGTACAGTAAAAAATATCAGAAAATACTTGAGCTCGACCAGATTTGCTAGTTGTAGTATAATGCAAGGGAGCTATGGTGCCCTGGTGGGTAAGAAGTTGCACTGCCAACCCAAAGGCAGTCAGTTCAAATCCACCCAGGCTCTGTGGGAGGACGATGAGCCAGCCGTCTCCTCCCATGTGAGTTACATCCTCTGGAAACTTGCTGGAGGATCAGCTGTGAGTTGGTTGACAGCATTAGTTGAGGTTTTGAGTAGCTGTAACTTTGTATAGTGATAACATCAAAACAGAAGCGGCTATATAGATTTTTTTTTTAAATAATGAAACTTCTTTGTAGTCTCATTGGAGCTGTCAAGGCTGTT